GGTAGATGAGGCGCTTAGGGACATGGTTTCGTGGGCATGGTGTTGTTGGGTCAACGGTTGGACTCAATGATCTTGGAGGTCTTTTCCAACCTTAATGATTCTATGAATCCTATCACTGTGCATAAGTACCTGATGGGAGGAAGTAAGGAAGATGGAGCCAGACTCTTCTCAGTGGTGCCCAGCAACAGAACAAGAGACAATGGACACAAAGTTACATACAGAAAATGTCATTTAAACATGATTCCCCCCCCACTGTAGGCATGGTTAAATGTTGGAACAGGTCACCCAGAGAAGCTGCAGATTTTCCACCCTTGGACATACTAAAAACCTGACTGGGCATGGTCCTGAGCAACCTGCTCCACTTGACTGCTTTAAGCGGGATGCGTGTATGTGTGGATGGGCGTGGTGATGTTGACGATCCCTAACACCCTCAACTATTCTGTCATTCTATGAATTGGAGGGCTCTGGGGCATACCAGAAGAGCAAGGGAGGGTTCCTGAAGAGTTTAAAGGGCAGATGGAGAATCCTCACAGGAAACAGAAGGCTCTGGGGTGCACAGAAGGGCAACAGTGGGACACATGACACACAGAAAGGCAAATGGAGAGCTAATAAGGGGATCTGAGGACACCACAGGAGCAGAGTGCCCTGGGTGCAAGGAGGGCAGATGAGTCATGAGAAGACAGGGTGGCAAATCAATGGTCCTGAAGGAACTAGATGACAGTCAGAGGGATCTAGGGAACACTGAAGTGGAGGGATCCTGCGGGGGATCAGAGGACCAATAAGAAGGCATCCTGAGGGAACTAGAAAACAAAAAGAGGGGGGATCCTGATGGGAATGACAGCACATGAAGGTGTCCCGAGGGGATCAGAGCATAAGCAAAGGGCTCTGGGGTGCGACAGAGGCAAAGAAAAGGGCTCTATGGCAGACTTTAAGGACAATGAAGTAGCCCTGAGGAGGTCTGAATTCTAACGGAGGGCTGTGGGGCATAACGGAGGCAAATGGAGGTGTCTGGGTTGCACCAAAAAACAAGTTGAGGGGTCCTGAGGGAAACAGAAGGCAATTGGAGGACTGTGTGGGGTGCACCAAAAGACCAATGGAGGGCTCTCGGGGGCGTCAGAGGGCAAATGAGTTCTCTAAGGAGACTGGAAGGCAAACAGAGGGATTTGGGGAAACAGAAAGGAAAATAGAGTGGTAATAAGAGAATCCAAGTGAAACAGAGGACATCTGAAGGGACCGACGGGCCATTAGAGGGCTCTGCAATGCACTGGAAGACAAACACAGGGAGTGTGAGGGAAAAGGGTGGCAAATGGGGCAGTCCCAAGTAGACTAGAAGGCAATTCTCTGTATTTACCCACTTCCATGCCGTTTGGTGGAAATTAAGGGCACAACTCAGGAACTCCTTCAGCCAGCCTTGGCTGACAGTTCTTCTCAAGTGCTCAGACTGCAGAAAAAGACAAGACTGCAAGTCGTTTTCTGTAACACAGAAATGCATTGCAGTCTCCTATCCAATTCCATTTTCAACCCAGCAACCTATCTCAGACATACAAGGTTACTACATACATATGCAGAAACCAACAACAAAGCCTGCACCCGCTTCATTTACTAGAGGTCCCGAGACTTCAATATTGCACCAGTTGTACCACATAGCTATCAAACACACATGGTGGCCCACAGGGAACACCCCCCTTCATTTTCCAAACAAGCACACAGAATTCCACGCACACAACTCACCTGACTCTAGAACGGTATAGTTCAGTTGGAATGGATCTACAACCCACCTGACTAGAACAGAATAGTTCAGTTGGAAGGAGCCTACAACAATCATCTAGTCCAACTGCCTGAAACACAGATACCACAGCTAGTATTAAACCCTCTACCTTTCCAACTCCAGTGTTATTACATGCTAGATGACCCAGAACTCCAGGCTTTTCTGTTCTTCTGAGCTCACTAAGCTCACTGAAAGCTTACACTGCTCATCCTTTGCTGTTCCAGCATCTTTCTAGATCTCCTGTGTAAGACACTTGTCCAGAGATAGTGGTATCAAGCCTGAAGTCACTTCCTCTTAATGAAAGAGTGGCAGAAGAGCCAGAACCATGGCCAGGTTTGGGAGGAGCCTAACAACACACAAGATGAATGACATTTGAAACAATACAGCTCAGTGCAGTGCAAGCAACCTGGAAGATGAGGTTGGCACACAACAAAAGAATAGTACACACATAGTAGCAAAAGTCAGAACTGTGACATGAAAACACATGCCCTCACCCCAACACAGAAGTAGCTGTAGAACCCCAGGATGGATGCTTGCAAGCATCTCCATCTGAGGGAGCCACAGCCCTAAGGACTCACAACAGCACTGAGCAACACCTTTGGGCTCTATGAACCCCACAGCTCCAGGATGAGATTAAGGCACTCAACTCTGCAGCTTATTCCCATCAGCATGATGCCATCCACACCTGGATCTGTCATCACTGGCCTCATTGGGGAGATCTGGGCCCACCACTGAGGATCAGGTACACCTGGGAACAGCTAGAACCAGCAAGAAGCTGCAGCCATTCCCTATGTCTCCAAACCCAGGGAGAGAACATGGTGCTGGCACGAGACAGTATCAGCAGACAAGACAAATGCATGCTTGCACAGACACTTGCACGAACACGTATATGCTTTGTGCTGACAGAAATACACTTGCATGGACCCACAAGAACTTGCACAGACAGATGCTCCCATGAACAGAGATCTCACAGTACAGGTATATGCAAGACAACAAATCCTGGCTGCTCCCAGCCTCTACCCCGCTATAGCTAAGGGGGGTCTGGGTTGTGAGGCAGAGCTCTCCTCAGGGGAGGCAGCTGGAGCTGGCAGCAGCATTCTTCCCAATTGGTGCATTCAGACCCTCTGCTCTTCACCAATTCCACCTTGATATTCCCCCATGTCACTCCTTCATTTGCGCTGGAGCTCAACCAGGCTGCAGGACAACAAAGTGACAATTCACTTGAACTGAATTTGGAACTGCAGCTACTTAAATTGCTCACCTCCATGGAATGCTATTTGTTACAAGGACAGAACAAAAATTAAAAATAGCCTTCAAGTCATCAATTTATTAGGCTATCAGAGCTCATGCTTGTAACTAAGTGTATTGAGTGCATATGAAATACTGTCTGCTTCATTGTATGATGTTTTATTAAGCTATACCAACTAACTCAGAAAGGATTAAACGTTTAACTTTTATTATAAACCTGAATTCACTTCCTTCAGAAATGAGTTAGAAGTATTTTCACGTATGCCTGGACCTTCACTTTTCAAATTAATGTCTGAGAGCTGTGTTTCAACTAATTGCTGGAATGATACTTCCGAGTGTTGGCACTGAATACGCAATGCCTAAGGTTACCAGAATGAGCACAGAAATGTGCAATTTCCTTAGCATTCCATTTTCTTTCAAGTCTTACAGATGACAGGCCATCTCATGTAATGCTAACAAAGTTAACTCTTAAAATCACGTGAGTTCATTTCAGCTGTTAAGGCACATCCTTTCTTCTGCAAAAGTTAGTTTTACATACTGTAACAATAAACTAAACTAAAAGTCTTTCAACATACTGCACTCTTTTCAGATACATTAATTACGGCAGTAATTAAAAAAGCTAACATAAATATTTATAGCAAATACAATTCCGATACATGTATGACAATTTATTGTACCACCATTCATATAAAGCATTTCAATCCAAAATGGTCAGAAACAATCTTAAATAACTGCATAAGAATTTACAAACATTAGTAAAGATATACCACAGACTATAGCTTTCTAAGTTTTCAAGTGTAAGTTCTGGTAGATATCCATGTTTAAATAAAATGGACAATACCAGCAGAGATGCATACCTCTATCATCTTTATTTATAAAGAAGTGACAACACTAGAAAACACATTGATAACCAGTGCTTTGAACAGTGAAGGTGGGATCTAAAAAAGTCTGATTAAACTTAACAACCTTAGGTCTTTACCAAGTTGCATATCTGCTAGGAATGCTGAAACGCAAGACTTTACACCTGCAATATTCTATAATGGAACAGCCACATAATATCAAATATAATCTCCAATTTCCAAACCGGTACATAAAAAAACCCATCACTAAGTATTAGAAGACCACTGCAAGTTCTTATTGCTTTTTGAGTTAAATAATAATCTTCAAATAAATCAAAACCCAAACAACCTCTACAGTATCTTGCTCATCCTCCTGTTCATTCATTAACACTGGAAGCAATCAGTTATTATATGATGTGGCAACAGAGGCATTTAAAAAAACCCAAACAAAACCTATTTAAGTACATGGACATCCCCACCCTCCCCGCCCACCCTCACCCTGAAACCCACTATAACCACTTAGTGCCAGTAGAGGAGCAAAACTTGATAGACAAAACCAGAAATCTGACTACAGTAAGAAGGAAACATAAAGGGAGATAGAGCTTCCTTAAATATTCAAAATCTGATGTCTTCCAAAACAAAGCACATCATCCTCATCATTTAAAAAAGGAAGTTGCTGTATATGTATCTAATCCTCGCACATGCTGAGCAGTTTTCAAGTCCACCACGAGTTCCACTGTGCAGCAGTTGATTGCGAATTCAACAATGCTTCAAAAACTACAGTAATATTCAATGCGCTTTTTACTAAGGAAAGGAAAAAAACCAAGTGCACATTGATGTTGTTCTTGCCAGTTCAGCATTTCTGCAGCAATTCCATTTGTCTCTTGCAGTATGAAGTTTCTACCAGCATCAGTCTTCAGAATCATCCTCAGAAGCTGTTGGAACAACAGAGTATAATCAGAAGTCTTGACAAAGGTCTCTGACATTAGAACACTCTAAGATGAGTAGTGGAAACAAAGGTAATTTTATAATATTAAATAGCAGCTTGTAATACCCGCCCAAACCTTGTGTAATTACACAGCTTAATTTTTAAATGCATCTCATGTCTGAAAAATACAGCATTTTCAAATCAAAACTCCACATCACAAAATGCAGTGTCCTCCTGCTGTTCTTCCTCAAAATAAAAGGAAGAAAACTTAATTACGCCAGAGATTCAACTTTTATGTAGTGTTTACAGTGGCTAATTCCAACAGTAGTCAGAGGAGAATATATTCAATCCATGACAGCAGCACTCAACACAAGTGAAAGAAATGACTCACAAAGTTAACAATTTGGATGCTAAAATATCTAGAAAGGTTAGCTGGTCTAAACAAACAGAAAGACTCTTAAAATTTTTATATATATATATATATGTTGTTTAATGCAATGAAGTCAGGCCTACTTGGAAGCAGCCTCCTCTCTCCACCCCCATTCTTTCAGCATATGCAAAATGAACATAAAGCCCACATATGCGTAGGATTTTATTGTTGCAAGGTGAATTAAAAGACAAATACACACTTGTCAACTATGATTAAAAAAGTCAGTACACACATCTACAATAGGTTTGTGAAGACTTAGCTTGTCCATAACAGGAACTTAATCTGTCCTCATAAGCAAAATCTGCAGTCAAGAAAGCATTTACACTCCCGTAACTTGTTCCATCTCTGAACACAGAAAGAAGCAAGGTCTGTCTCCTCACTTCCCCAGTTCTTATAAGAGAAATGTAACTAAAGTAGCATCTATAATAAATCTAAAACTCAGTATTCCTCACCAGCAAGTTAGATAAAGCCTGAATTAAATATAGATTACTGTGTAAAATGGCACTCATTAATTTTTACTCTAATAAAGATGCACATAACTTAGGAATAAATACTGAACTCGAGCCCACTTTTTCTGCTCTAATTGCAGAAATAATCACCTGCTCCTTGAACTAAAACTTACACACACACAACATTCCTTATTGTACTCCAAATACATCCTGTGCACTGAAAATTCATATACAGACTTTGAATGTTGATATTCACATGCGCATTAGGGAAAAAAAAAAAGGTAGGTCAACTATCCTTCTACTGCCTATTTATCATGCCCAGAAATAATACTTAGATTCAGGATACATTTACCAGAAGTCAGCATATAGTTTGGAATTTAAGCACACTGAAGAAGCCATTAGGTGAAAAGTAGGCTAGTCCTTTGCCAAAATTGGCAACTGTTAAAATTCATTCCTGAAGTGGATAGGTCTGATCAAGGAATACACACAACCAAAAAGTATGTGCTGATAGAAAAAAAGGGGAGAAGAGGTCAAAAAAAGAAAGGGGAGAAGAATGGCAAGAGAAGTATGGTAATTTAAGTACAGTGAAATTAAACTTTAAATGTTTATTTTCTACTAGGATCCATGTAAAAGGCTACAACCTGAAGGTCATCACCAAATTCCATAACTACGTACTACTAGAATTACAATAACCAAACCATAACTAGGGAGGAATCTTGTTATCACTTGCAGAAAACACTTCTGTGGTCTAAACAACTCTATGCTGTTGGGAAATTAATCATGGAGAATTAAAACCAGGTCCCCCTCGGAATAATTCTACTGATAATGGAAAAAGCACTGCTGGGTAAAGTAAAATTTTCCATAATTAAGTTCGGTATTATGAATCTTGGCAAGGAGGATTGTACTCAATTTAACTTTGACTTGATCTAGTGGGAGGGGAGGGGAAGAGGGGAAGAGGGGAAGCACCTACTTTCAATATCTTCCATATGTGCCTGAAGAGTTCTTGCAAGGTTAATAAACTAGAAACAAGGCAGAGAGAAAGTAGTTTAAAAGTTGCAAAGTTATCTGCAGAAATTTGCAACAAGTTAGCAAAGTTTTCTTCACTTTCTTCACTTTTTACATCCCAAAGCTTCATCCCAGATGTCAGTTACCCTAACCCATTTGCCCAACTTACAAAAACCAATGCAAAATTTAATATAAATCCCCACACATTAGACTTCAAATTGCTATTGCACAGTTATTTCAGCTTCCACTCTATGTCAAATGTTTCTGGTAGCAGTTAGTGGCATCATCTTCATGTTCTACAGTCTGTAAAACACATCAATTTCAAAAGTAGCACACATAAACAAGGGCCAGTTTTATGAAAACCATTCCTAGAAATTGTAATGCAGAAAAACATAACCTGTAAGGACTGCATTAGTTGGATCCATTTCATTTACTTCACCAATAATATGGCAAAACAGAACCCTCTGACTGAACGAGGTTAATGAAAAATGCATAAATACACTTAAGATTTTACCTGTAAATAAAAAGTTTAAGAGTAGGATTACTATTAGGCAATGGTGGCAGTTTAACATTAGAAGTACGTGGTATCAAAACACAAAGCCAAAATCCCTAGGAATACAAGTTTCCTAGGCAACTTTGAAAGTCTCAGCCAAGTGTTTTTTTGTCAGTGACAGTCCAGATGTTGAGACAGCAAATAAAATGAAACAAGAATATAATGCTACAGTTTCCATAGCTCAGTAATATGCTCGGTATCAAACACACATCGGTGCTCTCACTGGTTTAAAATGCAGTGTCACACAACTGTGTAATGCTGCCTCTGATGAAAAACCAGTAAAAACACCTTATTTCTGCAATACACTCAAGCTAATAACCTGTACTGGATGCTGGCTGCTACTAGATTATATGTCTTTTATGTCTCTACACTTGTAGCAGAGAAAACTGGACATTTCATTTGTGGATCATGGAACACAAGCTCTACGTTAGATGTGTACAGAAAAGAGGACGACTGTTCTAATACATTAAGAGATTAGAGCACAGACCTGCCTCTACCCCAAGGGCCTAGTACCTCCTAGCAACCATTCCAATAAGCGTGGGACAAACTTAGTATTGACAATTCTTTGTATAATTAAAAAAAAAAAAAAATCAGCTTTTCAGGAGCTCAGCTGACAAAGAGCACTGATTCATTAGCTAGTATCAAATAAACATGCAGAATACAGGATTTCTGAATGAGTCACTATGCAGAAATAACTTTGTAAGATGATCTCTTACTGGTAAAATGTGTACTTACTGCATTTCTAAGCCAAGCCATTTAAGTGACAAGAATCCAGTCAAATACAACTATAAAGAGCCTTGACTAATGCCAGAAAATCATACTACCGCTAGACAGTTTCAGAATGTAATATTCAAGTACATATTTAGGCGCAATCCAGTAGACAAGCATTGCAAGGTCTAGACCTTTGCAATGTAGACTGGCATAATGAGAAAAATTGATCAAGTAAGACAGTCCAACATTCTCAACTGCATGTTTTGTACAGAGGAAGGTTAACCTTCCAGTTTTGCATAAATTCACAATAATCATGACAACATACATGCAAAGCAATGAATTACCAACAGCCTTGACAAAAATGATTTTGCAACACAGTAACCGCAATAAAGTAGTACCTTCAGTTTCAATTACCACATTGACAAACCCAGACCATTTTTAGACCTAAATTTGTTAAATAAGCATGCTTCTTGGATATCTAGCTCCTAGCTACCTATCTATCGCTCAAGGTAGCAATCTAGTTCCAATTTCTCTGTACGAGCAATTCCTGCCACAAAATCACTGCATACTTACTCTGACACGTGTGCTGGCCTCACTTGCAGTTCCTAGCATATCAGAAAAGCGCTGCTCGCATAAGTGTAACAACACTACAAGGTAGAGACCAGAGCTGATAAATTCATAGTCTGCCTTAAAGGAGATCAAAAGAAACATTCAGAATGTCAGTGATATGTCTGCATATATGATTCAAGAAGTACAACAAGAATTAAATTTTACTGGAAACAGTATGTATTTGATCTCTAGTTGTTCCAAGAGAATTAGGGAAATGTAATACTAAAAAATTTTAATTATTGAAAAAGCTATTTATACTTCTGGTTCTTGCCACCCACCCCAGATCTAACATGTTATCCTTGAAGATAAATAGAGTTCTACAAATAAAATCTCAGTCAGCATGATTAGTTTACAGGAAGGAATCTGAGAATCAGAGTATTATACCACTGGGGGAAAAAAAAAACAACAAACTTGGCTGGTTTCTTTTCAGTGGTCCCAACGCTTTACAGAAAGCCAAAATAAAGGGAAATATTCTAAGAACTTTATAATGTTGTAAGTATTTTGAGAAATTATTTTCCCTGCTAAGATGAAGAAAAACTTTCAAAATGCTACTGCTGAACTGATCATTTAGAGTAAATTCTTCAGGAAAAAGTTTCAAAGCTCTTATTTCTATCAAAGTACAGTGACAGTAACCAACAATCAGTAGTGCTAAAACATAAGACGATGGCACTCTCGAGAAAGACACTTCAGTCTGGCCCAAGTGACAGGAACTAGAGTACTAGAGTAAGAGCTTATTCTAACTAGTAAGAAAATTAGAGATTGACGTTTGGCCCCAAAACTGGTGTCACTTTGTATTTTCTTTTAACTTCTGAGGTAGGCAAATTTCATTAGTCTTTCTATATTCACAGAATACAACCCAGAGAATAAGGAAAAATCCCTGAATAAAGTTCATCAAAATAATGCCAGCTTTTTGTTATTCCTTTTTAAATACTACACAAACCAGCAGTTCTAAGATAATGTATTTTATATAACAAGAGTAAAACTAATGGGCCTTTAATTATTTTTAATTTAGGAAAGGACTTGAAGGAGCAGCAGGAAGCTGTTAGAAAAGAGGTTCGCTTCTACCAGTCTAATGAAATAAAAAAAAGTTTTTAATGGTATATTTAAAACAGCTTAAGTGTGTTCAAAAACAGCTAAAAGCAAAGACAATTCATGACTTTATGTGAAATTCAATCTAATCATACTAGTATGCCCACTGCACCTATGTGGCAGAGACACTGGACTGCAAAGCTAGATGACAGATCTGCAACTAAGAAAAGGATAAGAGATATATTACACTTACTGAAAGCTCAGCTATAAGCAGCACAGCAGGAAGATAGAATTTGTCTGAATATTGAGGAGAAAATCTGTTCCATGTTGACATTACTTTATGTCCGTAACAGTCCTTCTGAAAAGGAGGTGCATTTTCCTTCTCTAAAGAAGAGCACCCTCCCAGCACTAAACCAACACTTAACCAAATTAGGCAAAATATACTAACTTGTTCATTTGCATGTGCCCTATAGAGTTCATGAATGTCAAAGTCTTCCAGATTCAGATGCAACTTCTCCTTGCACAGTTCACAAGTTGTTACTGCTTCCAAAGAAGAACCTGGTGGAGAGGGGCAGGGGGAAAGTCAGTGTCAAGTTGCAACAATCTATAACATAGGACACAATTATACAAGCGTTACAAACTGTAACTAATTCTTGGCTTTATTTTGCAGACCAAGGTTAAAAGAAAAGAAAGCCTCTAATACAAGTGTAGTGACCAGCTGCTACTGTCAGAACTTAAATGCTATAGAATGTTTACCCAGCTCCACATATCTTGCCTCACGTTCATTCTGGACACCACATGCCTCTTACAGAAAGTCTGGCATAAAATCGCTGCTTGGGCTGTTTGAATTCTACAGTGTAATCCAAATCTACACAAAAGTTATAATAAATATACTGGAATAGCTTGAAATTATTGCCAGAGTAACATTTTGTCTTAAAAGTACCAGGTTTAAAACAAGCTGCTCCATAAGCAACAAGATGAACAAAGCAAGTTTATGGTGGATTTATGTCTTATATAGTTAAATACTTCAAATTAATTTCTCCTACACGCTAAGGCTTTTAATACATCCCTGCTCTGACATGGGTCGCCTGATACCAAGTAAAAAAAACTAAACATGCTAGCACCTTCCTTTGGTAAAAAGTGTTCCATGATCTTCATGTCTTCTACCAAGCCACCTATTTTTAAATCTTAAAAATACTACAGGTAACTTAGTTATAAACTGCTCAATCAACTTATTACAAAAACATTTGTACAGCGTGCAATTTCTGAACTGTTTCTTAAAAAAAATTCTATATGCACTTCGAAGTAATTTTTTGAACAAGCAGTTTTAACTGCCTTGAACAGGAGTTAGTATCTTTAAAAAAAAAATTAAGTACAGTTACAACAGCAAAACATTTTTAGATTTTCAAATTCCTTATAGCCTGGCTATAAGTCTTAAAAACTAGAAGCACATGCATGACGAAGGGTGGGGAACAAACTCACCCAAGTAGTAGAGTAGCTCTAAAGCTACACTTCTGCAACATTATATTTTGTCTAATATCTTAGTAGACAATCCCAAAAATGTAATTCTCTGAATGACAAATACAGTTCTTGGAACTACTCACATGAGAAGCTGCACAGACAGACAATAAGCCTGGAAGTGCCACACTACTGTTTGTTCCCAACTGCTCATTTTTCAAATAAATACCTTCGTATTAGTAAGAGTAACCCTCCCGGTAAGCCTCCCAACGTAACTGGAAGTCTACCTTGGTCTAGAGTCTGCTTTACCTGAATTAATCTTGGACTGCAGCCATTTTTTCATGCACTCCTGGTGAACATACTGCAGACTTCCAGTGCATTTGCATGGCTCTATTAAAAGGTTGTCAGAACTTGCAGAGGACATCTGACAGATTCTGCATAAGTCACCCTCTTCATCTTCAGAATCTTCTAGAAGCAGGCTGAATAGGAAGGAATATCAACAAAGGCTGTGACACATTTCACGTAAGACTTTTTATAATGACAATTCCATTCATCAAACTGTTCTCAAACCTACGAGGATTAAAACAAGTTTCTCTAAAGACAAAAGTGAGAACACAGGTGACAGAGGACTGAGTTGCTGCCTTCTTTGAAGAAAAGTTTCCTTTTAACATCATGGTTACAGAAAACCCTCTCATGTTAAGTCAGGTACATTTTATTATCTCAAAAAACCATACTAAATTTACCTCTCTTTAATTTTCTGGAGTCTTTCTGGATCTCTTGAAGGTGGTATTTTAGACTTGCCACTTTCTTGTCCATCAGACTGATTCCAGCCAGAGGGAATAATATCTACAGTTATCATAAGATTGTCAGACAGACTGCTTCCTAATGTTGGAGGCACTGCAAAGCGAAAGAGAGAACCAGGCAGAATTCCAGAACTTCTCCTACTGTGGGCTGAATCTGGTGGGGAGGCAGTAGCTGTAGGAATACCAGATACTGCAGGTGTTGGTGGTCTGCTAACAGAAGCCCGAGGAGGGCTATCTGATGCTTCAAGAGAGGTCTCCTCACCTGACTCTCTTCTTCTGAAGACATGTTGTGATCTAGCAGTTGTATCAGAGGTAGAGATCCTTGCGGATTCATCTCTTCCTTCTCTTCTTCTTCTGGAAAAGAGAGGTGTACATCTGTTCCTCAAAGATGATGATAACCAGGATCCTGTGCTCCTACTTTCAGAGTCTGGCCTGTAACTTTCCCCATCTGAATCAGAGTTATGATTTTGTGAAACTCCTGATAAACCCCATCTTCGTCTAAGAAAACTAAATCCCTGAGAAGCTTCAGATGTCTGAAGTCCTGGAACTTCTGGAGTTGCAGCTCCATTACTAATTGACAGAGTAGAAGCTTGAACTCTTGGGACCACCGTTGACTCTTCAGAGCCTAATGATCTTGTATGCAATGAGTCTTGGCTAGACCTTCGAGAGAAAAATGTAGATGACATACTAGATGCTAAACGAGACAGCAGCTGTCTGGTTGTGCGCCTCCCTTCGCTGTCAGCCGCAGGCTCGTTCAATGACCTCTGAGAAGATAAAACCCTTTCAGGACCACTTGAGGAAGGAGTTTCACCTCTAATGGCAGTAAGAGAAAATGCTGGCTGCATGCTCCTCTGGGGAGATTCCAATTCATTTCTCCTTTGTCTTGAAGAATAGCTGGATCTTGAAGAGCTCATGTTAGAGTCTCTGTTGAAAAAAGATGGCTGATGATCAGAAGGCAACTGGCGGTTCATGGATGCATTCAGCCTCAAAGTGCTTAACGAGTTCTCTTTTGGTCTTGCTCCCTCTGCATATGAAGAGGCAGGCCTGTCTTGAAGATCTGTTGCAGAAAAGCAGAGGAAAATACTATGACAAGATGTGCTTTAATTGTTACACTCCAGACGGATAACTCCAAAATGTAAATGCAGAAGTTCAGGATTTCATGATCCTTACACAAAATTGTTTCAAATTTGGCAGGTAGATTCCAGAGCCATATTAAGTTTACATTTACTTACCAGAATTCTAAAGTTAAACTGAAACCTAGACTGGTTTCAGTCTGGTAAATCCATTTGGAATCTATCACCCCCAAAATCTTCAGATTATTAAGGTATGACTCGCTTTCTTATACGTGAATATGAAAATTCCGACCATCTATCAGGAGTTACATAAGAACAGCATCTGAATTAAAAACAGCAAACTATATACAATACTATTTATAACTTAAAGGTCCATTCTGCCTGTAGACTGAGAAAGATGGGTTAATCAAAATTTCAGTACTGTAGCAGACACCAGAGCACCCAAAACAAACGCATGGATAAAGCCAAGTATATTCCCCATCTATTATAACAAGCTACCCTTATTGTTCTCATTGTAAGAACATCAAGAGCTGCAGTTACAAACACTACTTAAAGGTAGCATAAAATTATTGACTTTGGATAACAGAAATTGAATAGTATCTAAATTAGATGTATATCTCACTATAATAATGTTTTAAACCAAGAAATCAAAAATAAAAAGAATACCCTAGAAATACTGTAATTCCACTGCTCCAGCCCAAAAGGGTTATCTAGCTATTCCTTTTATCAAAGAAATGCAACAACTAAGTTAGCTCACATGTTCAGCTATGCAACTGGCTTAAGCACAGCCAGACTTAACCATTCTGGATTAGTAATCTCATCTGCTCTCCCAATTACCCTGAATACCTTTAGTCAAGTAGATAACTAACACCACATTGTTGTGTCCTGCCCTGCTTTTTAAGCATACATTTGATCACCCAATGCTTCCCAGTGGCCTACAGGTCGAGGGAGGTGATTCTGCTCCTCCACTCCGCTCTGGTGAGACCCCACCTGGAGCACTGCATCCAGCTCTGTAGTCCTCAGTACAAGAAAGACATGGACCTGTTAGAGCAAGTCCAGAGGAGGGCCATGAAAACTATCAGAGGGATGGAACCCCTCTTCTATGAGGAAAGGCTGAGAGAGTTGGGGTTGTTTAGCCTGGAGAAGGAAGAGAAGGCTCCAAGGAGACCTTATTGCAGCCTTTCAATATATAAGGGGGGCCTATAAGAAAGATGAGGACAGACTTTTTAGCAGGGCCTGTAGCAATAAGACAAGGGGTAATGGTTTCAAACTAAAAGAGGGTAGATTCAGACTAGATATAAGGAAGAATTTTTTTTTTTTACTATGAGGGTGGTGAAGCACTGGAACAGGTTGCTGATGCCCCACCCCTGGAAACATTCAAGGTCGGGTTGGATGGGGCTCTGAGCAACCTGATCTAGTTGAAGATATCCCTGCTCACTGCAGGGGGGTTGGACTAGATGACCTTTAGAGGTTCCTTCCAACCCAAACCATTCTATGATTCTTATAAGCATGTTTTCTGTATATACTGTGTAAGTACCTCAACACACTGAGAAGAATTCTACTGTAGCTGAACTGTAGTTAACATTTCATGAAGCAGCCAAGGAGGCTAACATCAGCTAGTCTCCTTCCTCAAATGGCTAGATTTGGGGGAAGTGGGGGGAAGGAGGAAGCAGCTGAAGCCCGCTAACCTTCCCTAAGAAGGGAAACTTCTTCCAATATTTTAACTACTTAACAAGCATAGGTAGATTAAGATAGAAGCTTTCTCTATGTATTCTGGAATTGAAACCTTTCACGTTTGTAGTTTTGGTGTTTTTCTGGTTTTGTTTTGTTTCTTTTAACAGGTTCTGCATTGCAATCACCATTTATTTTTGAAGCTCAGGTTTATGCACCTGGCAGATTCTAACTAAAGAAACATCTGCACAGATGCCAAACATCTGGCATATGGTTTTGATTATACAGCAGGGAACACAGTTGGGAGTTATTTTCACAGCACTTAACAGTGGCACTACTGCTAGAAATGCAGCATGGACAGAACAAAGCAAGGCTGTCTACCCATCCATTTCTCCCATTAGGCTCTACCAGGTAAACTCCAACTGTCCACTTATTAAAGAACTGTAGAGGATGATGACATTAAAACATACTCTTCTGGTAACGCAAGACTGCAGGATGAAATCTGGAACTAGTTTTTATCTTTTCTGCTTACCTTCTATACTTGTAAAAAAGGTAATTTTTTTTTAAACTTCTGCATTATAAAGTACCACTAATGCATCCGCAAAAGGTGGCAGATAAAGACTGATGATGAGCTTTCCCCCCGAGATAGCTCTAAAAGGCCACAACACTCAGAATAGAAAGTGAAGATGATAGTGCAGAAGTCCATACTAGTCCTAGCAGTTACCACGGAACAAACCTCTCACCTCGTGTAAAGTGTGTGTTTATTCATTTTTATTTTCAGTGGTCTAGCAGTTTTCCCTAATAACCACTCAAGAACCCAAATAGAAAGAGAGAATACGATACGGACACCTCCATGAAAACCCTTTCCTCAGTCAAATTAACATTATTTCTTCGCCCATACATAAATACAAAGAGATCTTAAGATGAACAAGAACAGAAGAGGCTTACTGACTATTCACACATATGCTGGAAGCTCTGCTAAGGCACATGGAGGACAGGGAGGTTGTTTGAGACAGCCAGCGTGGCTTCACCAAGGGCAAGTCCTGCCTGACTAACCTAGTGGCCTTCTATGATGGAGTGACTACATCAGTGGACATGGGAAGGGCTACAAATGTCGTCTGTCTGGACTTCTGTAAGGCGTTTGACACGGTTCCCCACAACATCCTTCTCTCTCTAAACTGGAGAGGTATGGATTTGATGGGTGGACTGTCTGGTAGGTGAGGAGTTGGTTGGATGGTTGCATCCAGAGGGTGGTGGTCAACAGCTCAATGTCCAGATGGAGGTTGGTGACGAATGGCGTCCCGCAGGGATCCGTATTGGGACCGGTACTGTCTAATATCTTCATCAATGACAGGCACGGTGGGATCGAGTGCACCCTCAGCAAGTTTGCAGATGCCACCAAGCTGAGTGGTGCGGTCGACACGCCAGAGGGATGGGATGCCACCCAGAGGGACCTGGACAAGCTGGAGAAGCGGGCCTGTGGGAACCTCATGAAGTTTAACAAGGCCAAGTGCAAGGTCCTGCACCTGGGTCGGGGCAATCCCCAGTATCAATACAGGCTGGGGGA